TTGATTGATACTTGTGCCATGTGTGGTGAGAATTTGTTTATTCCATGTTTTGCATCTTAGTCTAGAACCTGCCCTGCATGTTATTGAAGTGCAATAAAAAGTGTTGCTTTGTTTAGGAGATGATAATAGACTTTCTTTGATTTGTCTGGTAAATTTTAGCTAGTTCAGATATTATTTCACTAGTTAGCTCTTTTGAGCCTGTAGACTTTTGTTGGTAGCCATATTTTGCCTTAAACTATTTTGTTGAATCCCTAGTTTTTGCACTTTGCTTCCTTGAGCATAATAGCATACACTTATTCTAATTGTTAAATTTTGAAGAAAAAGGGATGGTTGAATGAAAAGGTAATCAATGATAGCTAAAAACTGCTTAAAAAGCCTTCTTTGAAAGAATGTGATGGAAAAAAAAATTGGCCCTGCTATGTTGTGTGGAAAATAAAAGTATGCTCAAACATTGGCCCTGGTCCTACCAAGGAAATTGTGCCCCTCAATTGAGGGTGGCTAGTGAAAAGGCATATATATATATATAAAAAAATGATTGAAGCATATTCTTGAGATGATGAGAATTACTTGTGAAATAATTGTTGAAGAGATGGCTGAAAATAAAGAGAAGAAAATAATGGGTGATGAAGTCTAAAATTGCAAAGTGCTTAAGGAAGTGTAGTCACTATTATATAGTTTTCTACTCGTCCCCTAGCCTATATTATAACCCGTTAAAGTCCTATTTGATTATATTCAAGCATGCTTAATTAGTGGAGATGTACATAATGGACAAGCCTATGGTTCTTTGTGCATACATGTGAATTTTATTTGTGAGTGTGAGAGTTGTTCTTGATATGAAGTCCTTAATTTATATTCAATCTTTTGAATCGAGTGTGTGGACTATTTCTTCTTGTGAGGGCACTTGTTTCATGATGGATAGGTGATTTTATTAACTTTCTTTGATGAGAGTAGGGGAGCAAGCTTAAATTTGATGAGTTCAAAGTCCTTTCTTGAGGTTAGGAGGTTAGAGGTTTGTTGCTTATTTGAATGTCTTGCATAATGATTGAGAAGTCTACTTGATGTTTTGAAATTGTTATATGGCCTAATTGTTTGTATTAACCAAAGTGATGACATTTCTAGTATGATTTATTTGAGATCAGCTTTAATGCTTGCTCGAGGATGAGCAAAAATTTAACTGTGGGTGTTGACGTAAGGACAAAAATATATATTTTTAATTATTATTTGCCTCACTTTATCATTTATATTTGTTGTTTGTTACTATGAATTTTATGGATTGTGCTAAATAGTGTATTTTATTTGTAGGATTAAATTGGTGGAAAAATGAAGAAGTTTGGAGCTAAAACGAATTAAAGAAGGAATGTTGAAGAAGGAAATCAAGCAGGCAGCTTAATGAATTAAATTGAATATAATAATATTTTATAAATATGAAGTGCAGCAGCGAGGAAAAAATATGCAGAACTAATTTCATATATTCCTGAATATCATATATATGATTGAAAAAGTTTATGTTAGTTATTATGTATTAGAATTATTTGAATCTCAATTGTTGAGGCGGTTTCACGCAACATGAATTCTTATTCCGCTTGATTTTGGTTCCCAATTTGTTTTGGATTCAGTTATTTTATTTAGGGTTTTCTACATCTATAAATAGTCCATAAAAATAATTATAATGAGAGGAGATCAATTATAGGGGCATCAAAGTATAAAGTTATCAATACTTTTTAGGGTTCTTTTCTTCTTCTTTCTTTTCTTAGAGATTAGTGGCTAAACGCCCTTATTCTGGGGTGTAACTACGAATGTTGAATATTTAAGGTTAATGAATTAATTATTGATTGTCATTATAAGTTACTTCTATATTCTTGTTTTAGTATTATATGCTTGATCATCATAAGATAAATCTATTGTTTAATCTTAAAATCGAGAGAGGAGGGGTTAGATAGACCAGAGAATATAGAGAGCTCGATCAATCCATTAAGTTGAGGTGATTTGTGTTCAAGAGTGACGCCCGGACGAACAACTTGCTTGGTTACAAAGCAGGATGAAATATAAATGCTCGCCAGTTAGGCCTGTTTATCCCCACTCAACGATGTAGTTAGACAGCTAACTGGACTAGGCGACTAGAGGTTTAACACCTGACTCATATAATTAACCCTGTAAACCAGTAACTTGACAACTGAAATTAGTTCTAAGCCAAGAATATGATACATGAGATTTATTGCATGCTGCAGCCCTAGAATTTTCCAACCATTGTAAGTAATTTTATTATTTTGTTCTTGCATTCTTTTCTTTTGGTCCTCTTAAATAAATAATTAGAGGAGTATAATTTAGTAAAAATAGTTAATTGACATGTCATTTGGGTTCGATAATCTGATTCTTTTAAGAGCCACTATGTTACTTGCGCGACCGCATACACTTGCCTATGCAATTGGAAGCAACAAGTCATCACAATTCCATTATTAAAGAAGTCATCGCACCTGTCCACAGTACACATAGAATGGAAACAATAAATCAGTTGTTGTCTCGCAACAAGGTCATATTCATAGATGTGAAAATATTGGACCATGGTGTCATTGGTGGTGATCTCTTCATTTTCTCCTACAAAACCTGCCTCTTCATGTGCTCCAGTTTTAGCTTTTGTGGTTACTGCAGGTGGAGGTGTGGTTGCCTCTTCCTGTAAGCCGCTAGCGGACTCTGCATTGCCTTCAGAACCATCATGAGACTGGCTACCTGATTCCTCACCACTACCAGAACTACTACTTTCCTCTTCAGACTGGGGAGGAGTGCTCTGAAGAATTGCTCTCACTTTCTGGGATCTAGTAGTTCTAGGTGGGTGCTCCTCAATGATGTTATTTATCTCAACCTCAGAACTACTAGACTCTGACACGTTATGACCTTCCAATTGAGAAGCAGTCGGTGAGGAATGTTTGGTTGCATTCTTTCTTTGGAGAGCCATAGTACCTGAGAAATACAAAACCCATTAATACACCAAAATAGTAAAATGACAACTATCGGGTACTCAGACTTCCCCCGTGTAATTACAACGTGACACCTTGCCTTAAGAATGTCATCACCTAATCTATCATTGGGAAGGGTCACAAAATCAAAATACAGAAAAGAAATAATAATACAGAAATATATTTAAAATACACTTTTTTATATGTACGGGAGCCAAGATGGGCAGTGGTGGGTACCACGATCCGTGAAGACCCTCGTGAACACTAGTTGGTGACTTGACTGTGTTAGATGGTGTACTGAAATGGATCACGGACGGCTTCACGGTCCATGAAGACCATCGTGATCCTACCCAGTGTACTCTTCTTTTGCCAAGTGTGGTACACAAGGGGTTTCACGATCCGTAGTTGATCCCATGGTCCATGAAGCCCATCGTCGACTTACACTTGGCCCATTTCTAGTGCTCCTCTCTTTCCAACAATAATCGATTCCTAATTTCACCCCATCACTAGGTTACGAGATCTATTAGCACATGAGACCAACCATTCTATCACATTTATCACTTGCCATGTAAATCAAACACAATATAGATCACACTATGATCATAATCACATGCCTATGAAAATAATCATGCAACTTTAATAATTTTACCCTAATTTTTCGGCACAACATTCATTCATATACCATGTATACTGACAACTAGGAGTCAAACATACACTCATATCATTATTTACAATAATTATGCAAGAATTAATCACACCCATACATCAACACTTAGTTCCATACAATTTTCACAGACACATATATGAAAAACACTAATTTCAACTGACCCACACCCATTGGGTATCATCAATGATCATCCACAATAATAATGTTCAAATTCGACACAATCATCGTAGTTCTAACTTGTTTATTGATAAGTTCATGCTTATAACAAGTTAATAGTTAACTTACTTTGAATAGGGTCACAATTTTCTCCCATAAAGAAAGATAATGAACTCTGACATCAAATTGTTGACAAACAAGAACTAGGGTTTCGATTCTCTGATGGATTTAGACTTTAAGGAAGGTGGAAACCCTTGTTATCTCTTTAGGAACCATTATAGATGGGAGTGAACAGGAAAAAAAACTGACCTTTGGTGCTTTATGAACTATATAAACGTTTCAAATTAATTTCTCTCAGTGCGTGGGTCGGGTGGGGCTATTATACTACTGGGTTATATACTGCGGACCGTGAAGTTGCCCGTGAAGAGCACCACAGTCCGTAAAGACGTTCTTGGACATGAATTGGTTAGGGACAACTTACCTAAGGTTCACGAAAGGCTAGATGGTTCGTACAAAGTTCAATGGACTGTGAACCTTTCCATGAACCCACTTATGGCAATTTGCAGTAGCCTCATTTAGCTACTATTGAGGATGACGGGCCGTGAAGTTGCCCGTGAAGGGCACCACGGCCCATGGGAATGCTCGTGAAGAGTGGCTGCATCCAGTTCTGCAATTCTCAATCCAAATCCTTCATGCACACCTCAACACACAGTGACTCTATAAACGCAAAGAAAAATGAGAAAAAGGAAACTACCTACTACAATTACAATCTTGGGTTGCCTCCTAAGCAACACACAATTTAACATCGCGGCACGACTCAGGTTACTTGATTACTCAGACTTCATCAAGTTTACATTTGTCCACTATCTTCATTTATACTGGAACACCCAAGTATGCCTTCATTTGCTGACCATTGGCCTTGAACCTCTCACCCTTTTCATTCTCAAGCTCAATAACACCCGACTGGAACACCTGAGTTACTATAAAAGGTCCAAACCATTTGGATCTCAACTTCCCCAGAAACAGATGAAGTCTAGAATTGAAAAGTAACACCAAGTCACCAGGAGTGAAGGTTCTCTTCTCAATATGATTATCATGAAACAGTTTCATCCTCTCCTTTTATAGTGTAGACCTCTCATATGCTCTCAAACGGAACTTATCCATCTCATTGAGCTCATCTAGTCTCAGGTTTGCCGTTTAACTCCAACTAAGATTCAGCTTCTTCAAAGCCAGAGTGCCTTATGCTCAAGCTCAACTGGCAAATGACATGCCTTTCCAAACACCAATTGATATGGAGACATACCAATAGGCATCTTGAAAGCTGTTTGATATGCCCATAGAGCATCATCCAACTTTCGTGCCCAATCTGTCTTGTTGGCATTCACTGTTTTTGCCAAAATCACCTTTATTTCTTTATTGGACACCTCCACTTGGCCACTGGTCTGCAGGTGATAATGTGTTACCACCTTATGTTATTTAACCCCATATTTGGCTAGAAGCGCACTGAATACCTTGTTGTAAAAATGGGAACCGCCACCACTGATAATAGCTCTGGGTGTGCAACACCTTAAGAAGATATTCTTCTTCAGAAAGCTAGCAACACTTGCCATCATTCTTAGGAAAAACAACTGCCTCAACCCATTTGGACACATACTTCTGCCCATATGAGCTCACAAATGGGCCCATGAAATCAACTCCCCACACATCAAATAGCCCCACCTCCAGAATAGGTGTCATGGGTAACTCATGGCGTCGAGAGATGAATCATTTCCACTGGCACACATCATAACTCCTTACTATGTCCATCGCATCCTGATGAATTGTGGGCCAATAGTTCCCACATTGAAGTACCTTGTGGGTTGTCCGAGCGCCTCCATGATGGCCACCCACTGGAGAGGAGTGACAAGCCTCTAGAATGTGCAACATCTCAGCTTCAGGGATGCATCCCCTGATGATATTATTAGCACACACCCTGTACAAATAAGGTTCATCCCAAAAATACTTACCCACATCATGCAGGAACCTCTTCCTTTGCTGAATTGTCAGCCCCTCAAGCAGCAAGACACTAACAAGGAAATTAGCAAAATCAGCAAACCAAGGAATAAAATCAAGAGTAGCAACTAATACATGCTCATTCGGGAATGAATCATTGATTTCGAGCTCAAGTTCCTCTTTGTTTTCAACCTCTAACCTAGACAGGTGATCAACCACCTAGTTTTCACAACCTCTTATATCCTTAACCTCAAAATCAAACTCTTAAAGTAGCAACACCCATTTGATCAACCTAGGCTTGGTATCTTTCTTTGCCATAAGGTATCTCAGAGCTGCATGATCCATGTGGACTATCACTCTAGTACCCAACAAGTAAGATCTGAATTTCTCGAAAGCATGCACCACAGCCAGTAGTTCATGTTCAGTGACTGTGTAGTTTCGTTGTGCTCCATTTAGTAATTTGCTAGCATAATAGATCAGATGGAACATCTTGTTGCACTTCTGCCCCAACACAACTCCTAGGGCAGTACCACTAGCATGGTACATTACCTCAAATGGTTCAGCCCAATCTGGGCCAATGATAACTGGGGCAGAAATCAGCTTTTCCTTCGGGCATTCAAAGGCTCTTAGACATGCTTCATCAAAAGAAAATTTCACCTCCTTCTCCGAAAGCTTTCAAAAAGAGTGTGAAATTTTTGAGAAGTCCTTGATGAAACGCCTATAAAACCTAGCATGTCCTAAGAAGCTTCGAACACCCTTCACACAGATAGGTGGAGGCAGCTTTTCAATCACCTTAATTTTGGCTTTGTCAACCTCTAACCCCTTTTGTAAGACCTTGTGACCAAGGACTATGCCTTGCTTGACCATGAAATGACACTTCTCCCAATTTAGCACTAAGTTAGCCTCCTCGCATCTCTGTAAAGCCTTACTAAGATTTAGCAAACAGTCATCAAAAGTATGACCTACCATCGAAAAGTCATCTATGAATACCTCTAGAGTGTCCTCCACCATGTCCGAGAAGATAGACATCATATACCTCTGAAAAAATTGTTGGTGGATTACATAGTCCAAATGACATGCGTTTAAATGCAAAGGTGCCATAAGGACATGTAAACGTGGTCTTTTCCCGATCTTTAGGAGTAATTGATATTTGGTTGTAGCCAGCGTATCCATCTAGGAAGTAGTACCACCCTTTTCCAGCCAACCTGTCAACCATCTGATCCATGAATGGCATTGGGAAGTGATCCTTCAAGGTCCACTTGTTCAGCTTTTTGTAATCCATGCAAATTCGCCATCCCATGACTGGTCTCTGCGGGATCAACTCATTCTTTGCATTTGTAACCACTGTTATACCACCCTTTTTGGGCACACATTGTATTGGGCTGTCCCAATGACTGTCAGAAATGAGGTACACAACCCCCAACATCTAACCACTTAATGATCTCATTCTTGACCACCTCTTTCATTAGTGGATTTAACCTCCTCTGGTGTTCAATGCTTAGGCTGCAATCCTCCTCAAGTTGGATCTTATGAGTGCATATACCCGGAGGTATCCTAATGATGTCAGCAATGGTCCACCTAATTGCTCTTTTGTACGTAATTAGCACTTTGATCACAGCTTGAACCTGTTCATCATTCAAATCTGCAGCCAAGATCACAGATAAAGTGTTGTTAGCGCCCAAAAATACATACCTTAGGTGAGTGGGTAATTGTTTCAGTTCTAGCACTGGCGACTCCTCAGTTTTGCTGGAGGACTTGGCCTACTTTTCAAATCCAGGTCCAGTTTCTTTGGAGCATAAGAGCGTGCTCACATGCCCTGTAAAGCATTCATGGTATCCACATAGTTAGTCCAGAAAGCAGCTTCAAAGTTCATCAACACGGCTGCTAATGTTTCAACAACCAACCTCTTCTCAATGGTAGCTCCCATATCTTCTTTATCAAAGACTTCTATCGCAGACATCACATTCATATCATGCGGTTGTTTCATTGACCTGCAAATTTTAAACTTTACCTTTTCCTTGTTGAGGTTAAATTTCAGCTATCCACTCTCAACATCTACCAATATTCGTCCTGTGGCCCGAAATGGTCTTCCCAAAATTATGGCAACCTCAAAATCCACTTCGCAATCCAAGATCACTAAGTCTGTCGGAAATATGAAAGTGTCAACCTTTACGAGCACATCACATAAGATGCCCACAGGTCGTTTCACCGACCTATCTACCATCATTTACGTTATTGTTGTGGGTTTTGGAAATCCTAACCCCAGTTGCTTGTAGGTGGCCAGCGGCATCAAGTTTATATCGGTCCCTAAGTCACATAAGGCCTTTGCGAATTCGATTGATCCGATTGTGTACGGTATGGTGAATGCACCCAGATCCTTCTTCTTCTGTATGAGAGACCTGATAGCAATAACACTGCAATGATGAACATTGTCAGTAAAATCAATACTTACAGCTATTTTCTTCGTGACCAAGTCCTTCATGAACTTGGCATATCCTGACATCTGCTTTAGGGCTTCCACTAATGGTATGTTCAATGACAGTTGTCTCAGCATGGTGATGAACTTCGCAAATTTCCCATCTTCGACTTTCTTTTTAAGCCTTTGAGGGAAATGAGGAGGTGGTGTTGGTATCTGCTGAAGAGGCATAGTTCCATCAACCTCTTTTTCCTTTGCTCCTGCTGGTTTTGCTATTGGTTAAGCATTCTCCAAGTCATCTACTTGTTCAGCTTCAGCCTCATCTCTTCCACTTTGCTCCAACACATGTTCATGTTCATATTCAGTACCTGCAGAAATTGGGTCATTAAGAATCTTACCACTCCTAGTGGCGATAGCCATGCAATGCCCGTCCTTCTTAGGATTTTGGATCGTGTCACTTGGTAGTGACCCATTCTTCCTCTAGTTTAATGATGATGAAAGTTATCCCAATTGTTGCTCTATTTGCTTAATGGAGGTAGTGTGACAGTTAGTGTGACAGTCTACCAGTTGAGTCACACTGGAGAAGTTACCTCTCATCTCCTTCATCCCTGCATAAGTTGACTCAACTTTTTGGAGCTCCTTAGCCAACATGTCTTCCAGCTTAGACCCGCTAGAACTACCACTTGCACAGTCTCTATTACATGAGAGCATATACGCACCACTGCGATCATTTCTATACCCATCTCTGTTCTGTCAGTTCCGCTGCTCTCTGTTTGTTGGCCTATCATGATGTCCTTCTCTAGAGTAGTTCCGACCTGCGTTTCCAGAATTGTAGTCCTGGTTTCCCGAGTTATAATTCTGAAAACCTCCTTGGTTGCCCGAGTATTTAGCCTCCTCATCTAGATCGATATACTAATATTCATGCTTGTTTTGGAGGTCCGACAACATTTACATGTTCAAACGTTGAGACAATATGTTTCATGAGTAGATCTATCTAGGTCCTCATGTGTGCCAATCCCATTCTCTTTCACTTTTCCTTTGTTCAGCTGAAAGTTCAAAAGTGAACCCAATATCTCCTACTTCTGCATCCCCGGTGTACCATGCCCTATTATTCTTTGACACCTCGTCCATCAGTTGCATGCTCTCTGAGAATGGCTTCCTCAAGAATGATCCTCCACACACTGCATCAGCAATAGGTTTAGTAACACAATTCAAAGATCTATAGAAAGCCTGTTTCAGATGTCTCTCAGTGAGACCATGGTTTTTCATCTTTTGGCTGAATCTCCACCAGGTGTCATGCATTGCTTCTCCTGGTAACCACTTGTGGGCACTTATCTCATCCTTCATCTGCAGCTCTTTAGATTTCAAAAATAATCGTTCCAGGAAAGCTTCATTCAACCCAGTCAACGTCCTGATTGAGTCATTCGGCATCTTATTCAACCAATTGATTGCCTCTCTAATAAGAAACAATAGAAACAACCTCAATCTCATTGTTGTTTGGCTAACTCCAGGAATTTCTTGCGATTTGCATATCAACACAAAGTTCATCAAATGTTGATTTGCATCATCACCAGCTGCACCCCTAAACATACCTTCCAGATTCAGCAGTTGAATCATAGTGCTGATGACTGTGAATTTCACACCTGGAGGTAGTGTAGGTAACGTTATCGCTTCTATTGCTCAGCTCCATCCAAGTCTAAATCATCCTCTTCGTACATTATGTGAGTTGGATACTATGCTCGACCCCCTGGAGCTAGTGGTTGGCAGTGGGGAGGAGCTATTTCTTCCACTCCTGGTTGTTTATCCACCACCCTAGGTGGGTTGTTCACAGCATTCTGCTAAATTCCTCTTCCAGCGGTTTCAGCTTCCAATCCCATTCTTTGCATCTGAGACTCAAGTTCTTGTGCATTCACCATTTTGCAGATTATTTTCTAAAGTTCTGAGTCGTATGGGATCAATGTGGCTCCCTTAATTCTGGTAGTTGGCATACACAGTCAAACTCACCTGAAAGAGACACAGACAAAGAACAAGACATAAAATTAGGAAATATAACTACACTTCGAATAAAATCTAGTAAAACACTTCTGAATTGAAATTCCCCGACAGCGGGGCCAAAATTTGATACGTCCAAACTTACATCTCAATTTAGAAGTATAAACGGTTGTAGTCAATTTATAGAACTCAACATTAGTTGAGGTCGATCCCACAGAGAATTTCTTTACAAAAATAATTTCACTGTCGCGCTTACTCGAATGTCGTTATTATTTCTTAAGGAAACAGTTACGGAATATGAAATAGGTTTAGCTATAAAGCTCTAGCAACCAAGGTTGTTAACTACGATCTAATTTAACAATTAACAAAATATCAATTCTAAAGATGTTTCGATAATTAAATGAAACTAGGATTGTGTTCCCCATAACATTGTATATAATGTTCTTCCGTAGTTCAGTTTCAGGCAATTTATCTCTACAAAATACAGGCGAGCTTAATATATCTGATACTTCTCAGTCTAATCAGATAATTTTCACTCAAGTCCTCTCGGTCCCAGAGTGTTACAAGTTTTACCCTCGCTTACAATAGTAATAAAGTTATTTTCTCTCGAACTCGAACTTTAACTCCATTTTTCTTCAGGTTAATTTAGGTTTTTCCTAACTATCATTTTTCTCTCAAACAAATGGCAGATACAGGCTCACTCTAATGCATGCACTCATTAGAATACATGAATAACGAAAACTAAATTATAATTTGCAAATATAAATCGCCTTTCACTTGTTATAAGAAATTACACTTAGATTTACGTCACAGATCCCACAATCCCAGTTGTGGTATTTGGCCACTCATGATTTCTCATAAACATACAGAATGATATGATGAAAACATGACGAGAAAATACTTACGAAAATAAGCAAATTGATAAGCACTTTGATAATTCAAGAACCGAAAATCCAGCTTTCAAACTTGATTCGATGTTAATTACGAAAACCAAAAGCTAAGAATATTTCAAACTACGTTCTTCATTCCAAATAAGATAAGATAAAAAATAAAAATTCCCTAATTAATTCAAATAGAATATCTTAAAAAGAGTCCTACTCGAAGTAGGACTAAACTATCGGGCACTTCACAGGCACACTGACGATCTATCAAGGGCTTAACAGTCCGTGAAGCCCTTTGTGGTCTTTACTTGGCACATCTAAATCTGGATTTTCAAAGCCTGTGCACTGGATCATCACCACTATCACCACAACGACTAGTGACTATAACCATGGTCCGTATAGTTGTCTATGGTCTTCACTTGACCAATTCCCTCTTCAACTATTCATTGCCCTGATGAGTCCACAAATTGGACTCATTTAGGGTTTTATTTTGACAGAAAGAGTGTCCTCGAATGCTTATTTTTGTCTCAATATCTGATGAAAACTCTTAAATTTCAGGTATTTGAAGTTTTAGTGGAAGCATGGACACTTAGGCACAAAACGGAACACAAAGGCTGAAAAGAACGAAGAAGCGGAAGCTTGAGCATCGCTAAGCACCTTTGGCGATTCGCCCAAAGGATAGACTCCTCCCTTTGTCCCAGTATGCGAAACCTTGTAGGAAGAGGATCAAAAAGGCAATGAAAGCAGCAGTCGGCGCTTCGCCGAATAGTTCCGCGAAGTAGTACTATACCGCCCAATGGTCCAGAACGTGAAGATACTGAAGGCAAATACTAAACGGCGATGAGACAGAAGAAGGGCAAGTCACCAAGTCATTTGGCGAACTCGACTAACCTCACCGAACTATCTGCCAGCACTAATTTTGGATGGCTATAAATACTAAACTTCTTATTAATTTTTATAAGTTCCAAACCATTATTATAATTTTCATAATAGAATAGTACTTTTTGGGATATTTTCTCTCAAGTTTGGAGAGGGTTTTTGGGAGACTTGAAGAAAGAAGGATTTCATCTTCCCC